AACACTCAGGAGAGGGGACAGGGGCCTGAGTGATGGGGTCATAAGTTTCCCCAGACAGCGAAGGATGGCTGCACTTATTTCAGTGAAAGTGTCAGACAGTGAGTTAAGCAAGCAGTCCTCTGCAAGCAGCATTTCCCAGTCAGGGCCCACAAGGTGCTACAGAGCCCCCTGCCCCCCAAAACTTTAGGGGCAGCATCAGATCCTTCTCTCTCCCCCATCCCCATTGATCAATCCCTGCCTGTTCGCTTTCTGTCATGACTTCTGAGCCAGCCTCCCACTGAAGGAACAGAGGCTTAGATGCCAAGAAGGTACACTTGGGCCTGGGATTGGAATAAATTCAGGTGCCCTAGGTGTGGGTAACAGGCTGAGTTTCTGGGCTGTTCAAGGGTGATGACTGACCTACCAATGGGCTGCCCAGCAGCCTCCAGGTAGCCCTGAGTATCAACTGGTGGCCAGGCTTACCTCAAAGGGAGGCTGGGGAAGGCTCTAGACTCCTAGGCTTTCACAGGCTCTGGGTTAGAAGCAAGAGTCCTTGCTCTGTGGCATGAGAAGGGGTTGGGCAGACACAGTCCCAACTCCCAAACGTGGGGGCCTGTGGCCACATGAACCACTCACTCTACACACTCCGAGGGTCCTCGGGGACTGAGAGCGTGACCCTCTCAGGTACTGCCCCCGGGTGGGAGCCACCGGACGATCCAGACACGGGCTCTGAGTGTTCACATCCGGAGGTCTCCCCGTCTCCACGCTTCGTGGCAGCGAAGACCCAGACGAACCAGTCCGGGAAAAAAGCTCCGGCCTCCGTGGTCCGATGTGCCACGCTCTTACACCGCACCCCTCCAGCCACCCAAACCCAGACGTTCCGCACTCCAAATTCGGGATCTCCAGCGAGCAAGGCAACTGCAGGTACCAATGGCCTGTGTTACCCCACACTTCCTCCACGTCCGCCCTTCTCGCCACCTGCCACAGCTGTGCCCGGGTTCTTTATTCCTTTGCAAGAGCAAGAGTAGAGGTCCCATAGTGCTCCAGGATAGATCTGGATCCCAGCTCTGGCTCTGGCCACCTGACCTCTCTGGGCCAGGTTTTCTCATCCTTAATCAGAGGGGGTTATACAAGGAATAGTAGTTTATATTTTCCCAGATCATGGCCTAACTGGCCTGATTGATTTGGCCTTCAAAGGATTAAAAAAAAAAAAACCCTGAATTAATTGACAGTATTTCAACATTAGGAGATTTTATGTAAAACTTTTGATTTCAAGCTGACATTAAAAAGTCAGATCTGGCAGTCCTGGACCCGCTTTCCAATAGGGCATTAATTGGCTGCCTCCTTTAATAAGGCATGTGCGCTCTACTTTTCCGAAGTCCCCACCACTCTCTACTGCCTCCCCAACACAATGGCCATGTGGCAGGTGTCATTTCTCATTGTGATTACACTGTTGTCTGTCTTAACATCCAGCCCGGTTCATCCATTTACGTCACCTGCCTGGACCCTAACGGCATGAGTTTGCATCTCCCACCTTTCAGAAAATTCAATCAAAAAAACTCTCATTTCAACAAGCATCTGCTTTCCATGAAGCAGGATGGTTGACCTAGAACCTTGATTTCTTGGCCTTCCCCTACCAATTCTCCATGAGAGAGTGAGTCAGCAGCAAACTGGTGGGGCTCAGCTTCCAGTATTTTCCAAGTCCAGGAGCAAAGGGCTCTGGTTTCCAAAGGGTGAATAGACAGTAAGATGTTTCCCAGCAGTCATTTCCTTCAGGAAAACTGGTCAGACATACTATGGGCTGAGGAGCAGCTCTCTTCATACTTGGATGGAACAAGCCTCAAACCATCCACCTGGGTGCGTGCATTGTAGGGTAGAAGGAAGATGTGGTGCTTCTGGGACTGTGGTTCTTCCAGTTGCCCTTAAGAGGCCAAGGCCATCTCTTAAATATACAGAGTGGACATAAAGTTCATGTGCAATTTAAAATAGTTTAACATAGTAAGTAGCACATGAACTTTATGGACACCCCATATAAGTAATCAAGTTGAGAACTCAGGTAGAGGAACCACTTGGTTTGTTTAGTGATTAATGACCAAGCTGATTCGCTGTGCTTGCCTTTACTCTTCAATTCAGGAAGCTAATTTGGGGTAAGAGTGTGGTTCTTCGGAGATGTGTTTATTGTGCTTAGATCTCCCAAAAGGATAGTAGTTAACCAACCTTGAAGGCAATGGTTTTTCAAGTACCATGTTGAGAAACTTCAGTAAATGTTGTATTTTTGCAACACTAGTCAGAAACTAGTTAGAAACAGACTGGTCGTTAAGTCTCATTAGTGGTAGATATGGGCTCAACTAAGTAATGGAATCATGGCTTTCAAATCTTGCTTTTACTCATGTGCTTTGTGGCCAGGAGTTTTTACGTCTGCAGTTTATGCAAAGAAACGCCATGCGGGCTGGTTTGTTTTGTGGCCGGTCTGTGTCTCCAAGTGAGCATCCAGCTATGGGGCATGCCTCGGGCCATCCTTCTGTGGCAGACTTGTGGGTAGGGGATACGTCTGGATTTCCCAGCTGGGCAGGTCCGAGGGTACCAGTTTGGGAGCAGGAACCTGCAGAGCATATAAGATGGTGCATGCTGGAGGTAGAAGTTGGCACTGCCCTCATTTTCCAGGAGTATGTGGCCCTTCGTGTGTTTACGAGCACGCCTGTGTGGGAGGGGCTTCATCTCTGCTATCACACACTGGTTTTCAGCCACAGGTACTTGTAGCCAGGAAAGCCGTTCACCTTTTGCTTGAGCAACAGAAGACTAATTGTAAGAGTTTGCAACCTCATTTGTGCTAAGTTTTACCCATGTGTTGGTTGGAACAAAAAGCCTCCATAGATGGGTACCAGTCTCCCTTCGTATGCAAGGAATGAGATGGAGAAGGGAATCACTTCCCTGCTACCCCAGACATCTTTAAAAAGGAAGTGTCTGCCCCAAGAACAAAGTCTTATTCTGCCTTCTTAGAGGGTAAGGAGCACTCCAGCCCCAAGAACTTTCCAGTCTCACTCATTCCTCTGTTTTTTCTTTTTCTTTTTCTTTTTTTTTTTGAGACAGAGCCTCAAGCTGTCACCCTAGGTAGAGTGCTATGGCTTCACTGCTCACAGCAACCTCCAACTCCTGGGCTCAAGCGAGTCTCCTGCCTCAGCCTCCCAAGTAGCTGGGACCACAGGCGCCCGCCACAACGCCCGGCTATTTTTTGGTTGCAGCCATTATTGTTGTTTGGCAGGTCCGGGCTGGATTCAAACCCGCCACCTTAGGTGTATGTGGCTGGCGCCTTAGCCACTTGAGCCACAGGTGCCAAGCCTCCTCTGTTTTTTTGTCTGTCAAATGAGCATGATGACAACACAGCCCTCATGGGGCTCTTGGGAGGATTCAGGGAGACCTTGTAGGAGATGTTTCTGAACCAGTGCCTGGCACAGAGCAGGTTCTCAGTGAATGAGAGACACCCCCCCCCCGCCCCGCCCCCAGACAGAACTGAGCTTTCTTTGCATGTTTATAGATGCCATGCTGAGGTTTTCAGCCATGGCATTTACTGACACATTTTGAAGGGAGAGTCATCCTTGTAAAGTTAGTTAGCAACTCTCCTCTGCAAGGAGAAGCTGTATCACAGGCATTAGAGTCATTGTTATGGGCAAGAGGATGGGAATTGAGGCCGACTGGCTTCCTTCCCCATCATCCCTGAGACCATCCCCTGGCCCTGGCTGTCTGAGCACTTTCCCTCCTAGAGAAGAATGGACCAGTAAGAGTAGCCCTTCCCAAAGTGGGTTCCCGGGATCACCAATTTGTGGGATATTACGGAATTTGATATTTTTAAAAAGTGTTCTGTGGGAACTCCTATAATATTTAGGAAAGGCTAGGTTCAATAAAGCTAAATGGGTCTCTTTCTAGTCAAACTTCTCAGAGCCCCGAATGTCCTTACACAAGTTGTTTTTCTTTAAGAAAGGGACTGGGTCAGCTCTATACCCCAATTTAAATTGTTTCCCGAGGCCTCTATCTCCTGGGTCACCCAGCACCCCAGTTGTGCCAAGAGCACTTTGGAAAAGCTGGGTTATCTTCCAGCTCACATGCTCTGGCTCAGCACCTTCTGCAGGTGGGGCTAAGTTCATGGTCGTGGTTTCCCACCTGGTGGGACCTTATCTCTACATCACAGGATTTCTGAGAACACCTGGGAGAGGCTGAGCCACTCAGGAAGATGGCAGCCTGTAGCACGAGATAACACCATCTATCACTCAGGGGGAGCCAGTCCCTTCCCCTGGGTGAACTCTGACCAGACCTCAGCTGCTCTTTGGCTACCCAGGGGCCACACAGCTGGTAGAGCTGGAATGACCAGGAACCAGACTATTGTCCCTGTTCCTCTGTGGCTGTGGCAGCAGAACTTGACAGGAGTGGTAGGTGGTAGATTCAGCAACTTGGTGTCACAAATGTGGCTCCCCAGGAGGCCAGGGAGACCCTGGCCATTTGCCATCTGTTCTCTAGCAGGATTTCATCATGGGCAGATCACCCCACCCCACCCTTTGCCTGGAGGGCCTCTCAGGGTCCCAGCAAGCAATCGGGCCACTCAGATGGGCCTGGCAAGCTCCAGAGGTCTGACTTGGGGTCCTAGGACCCTCACTCTACCCAGCCCAGAGGCCTTCTCCTATGTGCCCCTCCCCGAGACCTAGTGTGGCCAGTCACCACTGTTCTCTCTCTCTCTTCCTTGCCCCCCAACCCAGCAGAAAGCGCTTTCAGTCGGAGAGTAGAAGGTAAAGCACAAAACCACTTTGAAGAGACGAACAGCAGCTCACAGAACTCCAGTGGTGAGTGTGCACAGAGGCCGCTGTCTCCGCCAACTCCTGCCCAGCATGGCGCAGGTGCTGTATGGCCTGGATCTGCAGTGCATGATGGCTTTTGTTGGGAGGAGCTTGGGGCAGGAAATTAGAGGGAGAGTAGGCCCAGGCAGAAGCAGGGAAGGCCTTTTCCTCCAGGGACATTCCACTGGCCTCGGGCATCTCAGGGACTGTGGCACTTCTGTCTCCCCATCACCTGCCATATCAGCTCAGCTGGCCCCAGGTGGTTGAGCTTCAGCCAGCCATCGCTTTGTTTGTAAGGTAAATGTCTCAGCCACTTTCTTTCTAGGAAGGACAAAGGGGGTATAGCGGAGAACTTTATGCCCCAGAGCCCGAGTTCTGGCCCCACTTTGAAGCTGGAGCCATTAAAACAGAGGTTCCCTTACAACAACCTACCAGTTCAAGTGGATTTCTCTGAGGTTCCTGGTGGTCTCTGGCGCCCCCTGATGGCTGCCTTGGGCAAGACCCTAGCTAGGCCCTCTTTCTACAACAAAGAGCGAGGGCCCTTCTCCCCAGCAGACCCAGGGACAGCCTGGCAGGGCCGGGGCCTTGTCAGAGAAAAGCACAGTGAACCAGTCTGTACAGTGAGAGCCAAGGCAAGAGAAATTTCGACATTGGGGGTTACACTAGGGAAAGACAGCCACTCACTTTCATGCATAGTTGAAGTTGAATTCACCAAATAGCAGGTGCCAGCCAGTGTTAGATACTACCTGGGTGTAGACAGGTGATGGACCAGGTTCGCCTGTCAGACTGTGAGGTATCCAGCAGCACAAACTTCAGCCTGAAGGCATCTGCCTAGTAATAGGAGCTCCACCTTTGGGCTCTGGCCCAAGTTTGAACCCCAGCTCTACTACTTACTAACTGGTGACTTAATGTCTTAATTTCTCCTCCACTGTAAAGTGGCTTGAAGAACACCTGTAGCCCCATGGTGGTTGTGAAGATCCAGTGAGTGCCAGGCACAGATTACACACTCCAACGTTTGGGGGTTGCTTTATGGTTATTACTGAGTTTTTGGTTTGGTTTGTTTCTAAGTAAACCAAGAAATTCAATGACTGCCTTGCAGAGGGGGGTGAGATTTTAAACAATGTAATCCACACAAATCTCTCCAAGAGATAGATCCCAAAGAGATGGAGTGGCTTTCCCAGTGCCACGCAGGAACAAGTAACAGTGCCAGGCCAGGGACCGAGGTCTCCAGGTGTGCCCTGTGCTCTTAGCCAAGCTGCGCTGCACCCTGTGTGCTTCTCCTGCCACCAGAGCTGATAATGACAATCGGGAACAGTGGTGTAAGCACTGCCGCTGACACCCACCATTTATTGAGCGCTTACTATGTGCCTGGCTTGTGTTCAGAACTTTATGTGTCTTATCTGTCTCCATTCCTACCACGGCCCCGTGGGGGGCAGCGTTACTGTTATCTCCACTTTTCAGATGAGGAAACTGAGGCTCAGGAGAGGTCGCATGTTGTCCCAGGTCCCCCAGGTTGTAAGTGGTGGAGCCAGAATTCTCTGGTCCATCTGGTCCTGCTCTGCTGTCTGCATTTGGGGGCCACCAACCTCTGGCAATGCCAGCAAGCAGGGGAGAGATGCCAGTGAGCAGGGCCCCTCAGAAGCATAGCCCTGCTTGGTGGCTGCTCTGGAATTTGGTACCAGACACTGTCATCCCAGTGCCAGAACCTAGAAGCAACTTCCAGCTCCTTGTCCCACAGTGAGCGCCTGTGTATGGGCATCTGTCACTGGTTTTCTGTGGCCTTGCTCTGTGCAGTTGGGGTGTCCTAGAGGGGTGGCCCTAGGTGGCCCCAGCACCCAGAAGAAACCTTGATTCTCTGAAGCACATGGCCTCCATAGCTAGCCTTCTCTGGCCCCAGCCCAGACTGAGCTGCCTCTCAGTTGCTCCCCTCTTCTGAGAACCCCATCTGGCTCCCTGGTTATTAAAAATAAAAATTATAACAATCATCACAGAACAGCAGAACTATAAAAGACTTAGCTAAACTGTTTCTCTTTTGCAGAAACTGCAAGTCCCCTGATTTCCAATCCCTTCCCTCTCCTAAAGAGTAAGTGATGGTCCCATTGGGGGGCTGGAGAGGGCAAGGCAGGGCAGGGAATAAAGTCAGCTGGCCACATGCCCTCAGAACCTCTCTAGAGCATCTGCCGTGGGCTGTGTGAGACAAGCCTTGGCCACCCTCCTGGGCAGACCCAGCAGCTGGTGGAGGCAGGCAGAGGGTTCAGCCCTGCGGGTGGAGGAGTTTGCACAAGGATGGGGCAGAATCCTCGCCACCGGCAGCCTGCCTCTGCCGCCCTCAACCACCGTAGGAACTCAGGGCTTCCTAGTCATGGTCACCAGCAGCCTCAGACCACCTCTCCGGAGCCCCATCTCAGCTGTCGTCTTCCCCTCACTCTGTTTCTAACCCTTCTGGCTTTTTCCTCCTCTCTTCCCTCTCCCCTGCCAGGCACTGATGTGAGTGCTGCAGCAGAGAGCAGGATGATGGGGGTCGTGTGCACCTTGGCTCCGACAAGCTTTCTCTCCTCCCTCTCTCCCTGACTGTCTCCTCTCTTGCTCCTTTCCCCCGTCTGGTCCCCATTTCCTCCTTCCTTTCTGTAGCTTTCTAACTCCTTATACATTACCCTCTCTTCTTGTTTCTTTCTCTCTACTTCCATGTCTGTTGCGTTGGTCTTTCAATACATTTAATCATTTGTTCGCTCAGCAAACTATGACCTCCCTGCGGTTCCACAGGCAGAGACCTGGGCTGTGATGCAAGTGAAACTTGGTCCCTGCCCTGAGGGGCTCTTGTTGTATTGTCCCCCTGCCTCCAACTCAGGTGCCCAGAACAGTGGCCAGCACACAGTAAGCACTCAATAAATACCTGCTAGATTGAGTTAAATGGTCTCTCTCTGCATGGCTTCCTCTCTCCATCACTCCTCCTTCCCCTAGTCTCTTTCTCATGAGTCCAATAACAGGGGAGACAGACAGGCCAGGCCCACAGACCCAGAGTCCCAAGCCCAGAGACCCAGTGTGCGTTTGGGTTCCTCCTTCCAAAGCTGCCGCAGCCCGGCAGGAACATGTCCGCATTGGGTCTGCCCCTCATGCGCTGCCTTGGTTCTCCCTACAGAGCCTTATACCTGTGGCGCCTGCGGGATCCAATTCCAGTTCTACAATAACCTGCTGGAGCACATGCAGTCCCACGCAGGTAAGGGGCCCCTGTCTCCTCCCTTCCTCCGTTTCTGCAAGTAGACGAGCTGGCCAGAGCCTGGCCTGAGGCTCCCAGAGAAGCCCACTGTCTCCTAGAAAATGATCACAGGATATGCAACCTGCCCTCACTGAGCTATAGCCAGGCAGTCTTTGACACGATGGTCTTTGACACACGATGGTCTTTGCTCTGGGGCACAGCACAGTCAGAGAGGGGGACAGAATTGATAGAAGAGGGCTTCCTGGGGGTGGTATCTCCTGGGCTGGGCCTATGGGCCAGGTAGGAGCTGACTTGGAAAAGGAAACTCCATCCAGATGGAAATTGGATGTGGTTTGAGATCAAGGTGGGAGGGCAGTCTGGGCTAGGGCCCAGCTCAGAACTCTCACTCACTGTAACAACAAAAGCAGTCGTCATCAAACTTGAACACATATCAGAACCACCAGGAAGGCTTCACAGATTTTGAGGCCCCAAATGTCTGATTCTATAGGTCTACGAGGTGTGAGGTCTAGGTTTTGCATTTGTGATGAATCCTCAGGCAAAGTCTAGGGACCGCACTTTGAGAATCACTGGTTTGGAGCTACAGGCACTGCTGTGTACTGTCCAGGCAGCCTTTTCACCACATGTTTCACCTCCATGTGGCATAGATTGCCCCATTTCCAGCTTGCAGCATCAGTTCCCTCACTACATGCCCCCCGGCCTCTGTGCAAGTACCTCCAATTTTATGCGTTTGTCATAGCAGCACCTGCTTCCCGATATAAGGCCTGTTTTAGTCAGGGAGGCACTATTTGCTGAAACAAGTATACACATGTCATGTGCTTCTCACTCACATTACAGCCGAATGCAGGTGATCTGGGAGTGGTGACTTCCCCACAGTGATTCAGGGATCCAGGCTGCTTCTCGTCTGTGGCTCCATCTGCACCTACCTCCTCGAGTCCTCTCTCTTTGGTGGATGGGGAGAAAGGCTGTGGGGAAGGCACACTGTTCAACCTCTTCAGAACACAGGTGACATATCATAGCTGCTTAAACAGTGGCAAGAATTAGTCACCACATGACCAGCCTGAATCCATGGATGTATTCAGAAATTTACCCAGAGCCACCACCCAGGGACAGCTAGGCACACTCCACAGGGAAGCTACCTGTCCCCTCCCTCAGAGTGGCATTAGAAGTGATGTATGGGCCAGGCATGGTGACTCACACCTGTAATCCTAGCACTCTGGGAGGCCAAGGCAAGAGGATCACTTGAGCCCAAGAGTTCAAGGTTGCTGTGAGCTATGGCAACGGAGTCGTACTCTACCTAGGTAAAAGAGTGAGACCCTATCTGAAAAAATAAAGTAAAATAAAGAAAAGATGCGTGAGAGGTGCCCCACACCTGGTGGTTCAGTAATTGGTAGTTCCTGTTATTACAATTGTTGTCATTATTATTGTTATTTGTATCTGTGTTAGGTTTACTGATCTTTCCAGGTCTGGCCTGACTAGCACAAAGTGTTCTAGGACTAGAATTGCTTTTAGGCTAAGGTGCTGTTCTGTTAGTGTAACTGCTGTCGTTCATTCATTCATTCATTCACTGTGTATTTATTGGGTATCTCCTGCATCCTATGCACTAATTCAGATGACCTTTTCGGAGGGGCCTTTTATTTATTTCTATTGAACTCTTGAAAGTCAGGACAGCTGTAGAGTAGCAGCCAAGACACCTGAGCCCTAGTCCTGCTCTAACTGCTATGCCGTAGGGTTGTGTGGCTTCCAGTAGGAAGCTCTGTCCCCATCTCTAAAACAAGAACCCCAGATTTCCCGATGCCCTCCTCATACCAAGCTTCCTGTGGCTCCTGCCTTCCCCTTTGTCATCAGCCATCTCTCACACAGGAAGTCCTTGAATGCCAGCTTAAAGTATTTGGACTTGATCCTATGGGGAGCTAAGAGCCCCAGGCAAGTGTCAGCAATGGAAAGGTTACTTAGGGACCACAGCCTGAACATACCTCTTGGCCCTGAGACTCCCATCGCCCAGCCTCCTGCATTCCTCCTCTGAAACCTCCTGCCCTCCACCTGCGGCCCCCTCCCAGCTCCTGGAAGCTGAGCAATAATTAGGGAAAAGACTGGGTGCCAGTATTTTCCCATCCCTCTGGGCAGTTGGAGGACTAAGGCCATTAACATGCAAATCAAGGCTGAGACTTGAGGTGGTCCTAGCTCTCCCAAGCATCTTGACTTGTTTTCCATGCGGGGAGCCGTGGGCTGCTTTGTTCTGGTCCAGTGCTGCCAGAGAATGCCTTCTACGGCAAATCCAGTACAAAGCCAGACTGAATCCTAGCCAGGCTGAATCGGGATTAAAGGATTGACTCCATAGAGAGAAATTAAGCGTCATGAGCTATGCAGTTCACAGCACCGCCGATAAGGGGGATCAGCCTCGAATAACACCAATCTCATTAAGAGGCTGCTGAATGGCACAGGGTAATTCCCACTAATAAACTTCCTTTCTCAGCTGTAGGGAAGCCTGTCTTGCCGTTGGTGACGTCGAAGCATTTGCTTTGGTAGCAATGATACCAACAAGAGCTAACATTTAGTGAGGTGTTCTATGTGCCAGCTGTGGTATTGAGAGCTTTATGTGGGTTATTTCATCAGATTTTCCTAAACAGACATCCCCATTACACAGATGATAAAACTGAGGCTTGGAGAACATAATCACTGGCCTGAAGTTGCATGGTTCATATAAGTATCTAATGTCATTTGAGCTTTTACTTGGTGCCAGGCCTTATTCTAAGAGTTTACATGTATTTCCTCATTTAATTCTCAGAACAACCCTTGGAGCTATATACCCATATTAGCTCTACTATATAGATGAGGGAACTGAGGCACAAAAATGGTTGTGTAACTTGCCCAACGCTATGCAATCACAGTGGCATGATCAGGATTCAGACCTTCATAGTGAACTCCAGAGGCCATGTTCTCAGCATCCACCCTGTGCAGCCTAGGGTAGACCCTGGTGGAAGATTCACAGAGATGGAAGAAGCCCCCTTGTTCAAGTGTAGTCAGGAGGGTCACAGCTAAGAGGGACATGGAGACTGCCCCATTTGCAAGGTGGCAACTCATGGTTTTAGGATTTTGGAGGTGATCACACCTGGTTTCTAATCATTTCAAGTCTCTTCCCCTCCTGGACCTCGGTTTTCTCATCCGTGAAGCTGGTTTATTCAGTACTCTTGGCAGGGCTGGTGAGGGATCCAGAGATGCTGGACACACTGTTGAAGGCTGTGGCACATCTGAGACCTGACAGTGGCACGTGCCTCTTTTTCTATCCATCAAAAATAGCTGCTCTCTCCTTGCAAAGGTCCCTCGCCAGGAAACCCTTTATTCTGGCTTTGCATCCCACCCTTTCCTGACATAGACGTGTGTGGGAGCTGGAGAGTACATAGGAGTAGACACACCCAGAAGCCTAATTTGCAGCTCAAACTATAAATCAAGCCTTTCACAGAGCTTTTACTGGGTACTTCACTGATATCAGAACTGGTATCTGTGGAATATGGAGGGGAAAAATGTTTTAAATCAACCAATAATTCACATTGTTCTCATTGGTATTAATCAGCCAATACTAGGTTGAATAATCTCAATTCTAAGTCCTGCAGAAGGGCAGAGAATAAGGGAATCATTATACAACTTAGCCCCAGAGGAGGGGAGACTGAGACCTGAGAGTTGAAGTGCCCAAATCAGTGTCACGCCCAGAGCTATGGCAGAATTGGGTTCAAATCCAGGCCTTTCAAATCCCTGAATTCTAGTGGAGAAAGTCAACATGAAAGATTTCTTGTTTTCCGTGTAAAACGTGTTTCCCCTTTGTGAATGAAAGCTCTGTTCAGGAAAGAGAATGCGTTCTCTGCCCTGGGAAAATGCAGAGAACTTAGAAAGTAAAAAATCAGCCATAAGCTCTCTATTCAAAGCTAACCACTGTTACCAGCCTAATGGGTTTCTTTACAGTCTATTTTAGAATCGGATTTATGGAGCTATAATTTACATAAATGAAATTTACCAGTTTGATGGATTTTGACAAATGTGTATAGTAATTTAACCACCATCACAATTGAAATACGTAGCATTACCATCAGCCTAGAAAGTTCCTTTGTGCCCCTTTGTGGTCATTTCCTTTCCCGTACCCCCACCACTGGCAAGCCAGTATCTGCTTTCTTTTTCTATAGTTTTGTCTTTTTATGGAGTTACTGGTATTTAGTCTCTTACAAGGTCGGAAAATTAAGTTCACAAGCTTATCCTAGAAAAAGTGCTGCACGCCCCATTGCTGAATATCACTAGTCACCAGATGGCCGAGGGGAGTGCTTTGTATGTATGAGTTCTTTCACTTAGCACACTTTTTGAGACTTATTCGTGTTCTGTGTTGTCAGTATAATTTCCTTTATAGTGCTGATTAGTATAGATGTATCAAAATTTGTTTATTCACCAACTCAGAACATTTAGGTCTCTAGCTTAGGGCTATTCTGAATAAAAACTGCTATGAATATTCATGTGCAAGTCCTTGTGTGAACATATATTTTTAACTCTCTTATAAATATACCTAGGTGTGGACATGCTGGATTAAATGATTACTCTGTGTTTACCCATTTGTGGAATTTAGCACTAGACCATTTTCTAAAGTGGTTGCACCATTTTTACATTCTCTCCAGTAGTGTAGGAGGATTTCAGTTCTTTTACATTCTTGCCAATACTGTTTATTCTCCTTTATGATAGCCATCCTAGTACATGTGAAATGGCATTTCATTGTTTGTTTTTTGTAGCAATGGGAGATCACTTATTGGCCAAGCTGGTCTTGAACTCTTGGCCTCAAGTGACCCTCCCACTATAGCTTCCCAAAGTGCTGGGATCACAGGTGTGAGCCACTGCACCCAGCCTGGTTGTAGTGTTGATTTGCTTTCTATGACACCTAACAATGTTGAACATCTTATGTGTTTATTGACTATTTGTATATCCTCTTTGGAGAAATTTCTGTTCAGATCCTTTCCTATTTAAAAAAAAAAAAAATTGGTCCTTTTATTATTGAGTTGTAAGAGTTCTAAGAATTTGATAGTTTTTAGCTCTTATGTTTAGGCCTTTATTCCATTTTGAGTTAATTTTGTATGTGCTGTGGAGTAGGATTCCGAATTCATTTTTTTTAACATGTGTGCATCCAGTTGTCCCAAAACTGTTTGTTGAAAAGACTATTGAATTGTCCTGGTGCCCTTGTCAAAAATAAGTTGACCACAAATGTGTTTATTTCTGTATTCTCAGTTGTATTCCATTGCTCTGTGTGTCTGTCCTGTGCCAGTCCTACACTGTCTTGATTACTGTAGCTTCATAGAGGTTTTGAAATTAAGAAGTGTGAGCCTTCCAACTTCGCTCTTTTTCTAGGTTGTTCTGTCTATTCTGCATCTCTTGTAGTTCCATATGAATTTTAGGATTAGCTTGTTATTTATTGCATGCACACACACACACACACACACACACACACACAACCCAGGGATTTTGATAAGAATTATGCTGAATCTAGATCAGCTGGGGAGTATTACCATCTTAACAGGATTGTCTTCCAATCCATGAACATGGAATATCTTTCCATTTATTTAGGTATTCTTTATGTTCATTCAACAATGTTTTTTGTTTTTGGTGTATAGGTCTTAAAGTTTTTATAAATTTAATCCTAAGTACTTTATTACTTTCAATGCCTTTATAAAGGGAATTGTTTTCTTAATTTAATTTTGGGAGTGTTTATCACCAGTGTAGAAAAATACAATACTTTTTATATATTGATCTTATATCCTGCAACCTTGCTGAACTCATTTCTTAGTTCTGGTGTGTATGTGTGTGTGTGTGTATGTATGTATTTCATAGGATTTTCTATTTATACTATCATGGCCTTTGCCAATAGAGATCATTTTACTTCTTCCATTCCATTTTGTGTACTTTTCTTTGTTTACCTAATTACTCTGGGTAAGAACTTCTAAGACAATCATACAACATTTCAGGCAACAGTGGACTACACATAGAGTGGTCCTGTAAGATTATAGTACCAGATTTTACTGAACCTTTTCAATGTTTAAATATGTTTAGATATACAAATACCACTGTATTACCATTGCTTGAAGTATTTAGTACAGTAACATGCTATACAGGTTTGTAGTCTAGGAGCAATAGGCTATAGATGTGTAATAGGCTGTACCTTCTTATCTCTGGTAATATTTCTTGTTCTGAGGTCTAGCTTTTCTGTAATGGAATCACACACATCTTTATCTTTTTTTAATTATCCTTTTACTCTTAACCTATCTTTATATTTATCCCTGGATTTAGAATTTTAGGTTGCCATTTTCTTTTAGTGCTTAATCTATTATCTTCTGAGTTGCATAATTTCTGATGAGAATCTGCTGTCATTCTTACGTTTTGTTCCTCTGTCCATGATTATTCCCCCTCTGGCTGCTCTTAAGATGTTCTCTTTTCATTGGTTTTCAACGATTTTATTATGATGTGATGCTGTGTAGTAGTGGTGTTTTCTTTATGTTTATTTTCCGGGGATGGGGGGTGTGAATCTAATTTATAGTTTTCATCTAGTTATAAAGATTTTGGCCAACTCTTCAAATATTTTTCCTGTGGCTCCCATTTATACGGGTGGCCATAAAATTTTTTAAATTGCACACGAACTTCATGGCCACCCTGTGTTTGTGTGTGTGTGTGTGTATTAAACCGCTTGATATTGTCCATGCTCTGCTCACTTACTTTCATCCTTTTACCGTGTCTGTTTTTCATGTTAGATAGGTGGCCCTGTCTCCAAGTTCAGTGATCTTTTCTTCCATGACATTAATCTACTTTTACTCCATACAGTATATTTTTTGTATATGTTTCTATATACGTTTAGTGGGTTACTTTGGATTTTGTGGAATTTTTTGTTGTTTGTTCTTTGATTTTCCATTTTGTCTCCTGATGTTCATGTTTCCTTCACGAGGCTGTTTTTAAGGTCCTTGGTGGCTAATTTCATTATCTCTGTCATTTCTGGGTCTGTTTCTATTGATGAGTGTTTCTACTGACTTATAAGTCGTAGTCTCCTACGACTTGATATTGTGAATTTTACATTGTGGAGTGGTATATTTTGTTGGAATTTCTTTAAAGACTGTTGAGCTTTGTTTTGGCTTACAGTTTAGTTACTTACAATCACTTTTATATTTTTGAGGGTTGCACTTAGGATATTAGGGCAGGTGTGGAGCACACTTTAATGTGTGGCCAATTTAGCCCCAGTTAGATAAAGCGGACTGTACCTAATTCTTCATGCATTGAAGTCTCTCCATTCTGACTGAGGGCAGTACAGATTGTTTCAGGCTGTATGTGTGAATCTTAGGAATTTTTAAGCTTACTGCTTTCTAGTAATTCTTTTCCAAGTCTTATGGAATTTGGCACCGTGACTATGTAGATTAAGGTTCAGCAAAGATTCAGGGAAGCCCTATGGAAGGCGTCCAAAACTCTCTCCTTGTATAATACCTACCTCTTTGGTACTTTTTTCTGTATATTCTCTGAATTTTAGGCCTCTCTGAACTTTGATCTCTGTCTCTTCTAATCTGTGAGACCCTCGAGCTCTGTTCCAGTTCTCCATTTCTGTGCTGCAGCTTAGAAGCTGTGGGCAAACAGTACTCTGGGGCAATCATGGAGCTTACCTTATTTGTTTCTCTTTTTCTGAGATCCCACCCTGAATGCCTGTCTGAAAATATGAATCATGTTTTTGTAAGCAGCTCACATCAGGAATGTAATCTTGTGTAAGTCCCTCTCAATGAGTGGAAAGTGATACTATCCTCCTCCCCATCTATTTTGAATACTTAGATTTATTTGTCAAAATCTAAAATACCTGTGGAAACAATACATATAGAAGCTGAAGGGAAGCTTGAGGATGACTTGAGCCCAGGAGTCTGAGGCCAGCGTGGTCAATGTAACAAGACCCCCATCCCTTAAATCAATTAATAAATCAATCATATGAAAATGTGATCAGTTCTTGCTTTGCATTGACTTACTTTACATGTTATTACAGTCTCCATAACCAGCTTTCCAGTGATTTCATTATCTTTTGTTAGTCCTATTAGCAGCCGCGCAACGTCATGTAATTATCTTCATTTTTCCAAATGATGAAAATGAGGCTTGATAAGCACACATAGTTGTCTACTACTACTAAGAACTAGGGTTTTAACCTAGGCTTAGATCCCCAAGGCCACATTTCGCTGTCACCCACCAACTCTAGTTCTCATCCAGTTCATCAGCAGGCCTCTCACCCTTCAAGGTAATGCACTGCCCTCTTTGTACCTATAGCCGACAATGAAAACAACATCGCCTCCAACCAGTCCCGATCACCACCCGCTGTCGTGGAAGAGAAGTGGAAACCGCAGGCCCAGAGGAACAGCGCCAATAACAGTAGGTCCCCTCAACCAGGGCCGACCCCGGTGCTTGTGGTGGCCCTTCCGGCCCCTGCTCCAGGTTTCCCCCTCTGCCCCCTGTGATGATGCAAGATGGTGGAGAACAGTTTCCAAAGCACTTTTACGCCTGAAACCTCACTTACAGGAATTCTCAACTCACAAGATGAGCTGAAGGAGGCCCACGGAGAGGAGGTGATTTTCGTGTGTTGTTACAGAACAACTGTAGTGCCAGAATCAGAACTAGAGCCCACCTCTCCACCATTTCTGTTGGTTACTCCTTCGTGACACTTTGTGGTCCTACATGTTTTCCTCCCTAAAGATTGCCATGTGAGAGGCTATTGAAAAGAGATAAGTTTAGACTAGTTGGCATGGAGACATGTCTAGATGAATGACATAAACCACAAGTATGTTGCACATATACTGCTCTACCCGATTCCCATGCCCATGGTAGCATTACTAATCAATCATACAGCTTTATCCCTTTGAGGCTGGCACATGTTAATAGGAGCTAGCAGCACCAATTTCCATGCAAGAGCAAATCTACTACCAGGTGATTAGAGTATTAGACTGCTGTCAGACCAAGCAGCCTCGAACACCAGAATTAATTCCATCTTTCTTTATATCCCCTACCAGCCACTACCAGTGGTTTAACACCCAACAGCATGATCCCTGAGAAGGAGAGGCAGAACATTGCTGAGCGGCTGCTGCGGGTCATGTGTGCCGACCTGGGTGCTCTGAGTGTGGTCAGTGGGAAGGAGTTCCTAAAGTTGGCCCAGACCTTGGTAGACAGTGGTGCCCGCTATGGGGCCTTCTCGGTCACCGAGATCCTGGGCAACTTCAACACGCTGGCACTGAAGCACCTGCCACGCATGTACAACCAGGTGAAGGTGAAGGTGACCTGTGCCTTGGGCAGCAATGCCTGCCTGGGCATCGGCGTCACCTGCCATTCGCAGAGTGTGGGCCCCGACTCCTGCTATATCCTCACAGCCTACCAGGCAGAGGGCAACCACATCAAGAGCTACGTGCTGGGTGTGAAGGGCGCGGACATTCGTGACAGCGGCGACCTGGTGCACCACTGGGTTCAAAATGTGCTGTCGGAGTTCGTGATGTCAGAGATCAGGACAGTGTATGTGACAGACTGCCGCGTGAGCGCGTCCGCCTTCTCCAAGGCCGGCATGTGCCTTCGCTGCTCAGCCTGTGCCTTGAACTCGGTGGTGCAGAGCGTGCTGAGCAAGCGGACACTGCAGGCCCGCAGCATGCACGAGGTCATCGAGCTGCTCAACGTGTGCGAGGACCTGGCGGGCTCCACGGGCCTTGCAAAGGAGACCTTTGGGTCACTGGAGGAGACGTCGCCGCCGCCCTGCTGGAACTCTGTGACAGACTCACTGCTGTTGGTGCACGAACGCTACGAGCAGATTTGCGAGTTCTACAGCCGGGCTAAAAAGATGAACCTCATCCAGAGCCTCAACAAGCACCTGCTGAGCAACCTGGCGGCCATCCTGACGCCAGTAAAGCAGGCGGTCATCGAACTGAGCAACGAGAGTCAGCCCACCCTACAGCTCGTGCTGCCCACCTACGTCAGGCTGGAGAAGCTGTTCACGGCCAAGGCCAATGACGCAGGCACCGTCAGCAAGCTCTGCCACCTCTTCTTGGAGGCACTCAAGGAGAACTTCAAAGTGCACCCTGCCCACAAGGTGGCCATGATCTTGGACCCGCAGCAGAAGCTGCGGCCCGTGCCGCCCTACCAGCACGAGGAGATCATCGGCAAGGTCTGTGAGCTCATCAATGAAGTGAAGGAGTCCTGGACTGAGGAGGCCGACTTCGAGCCCAGTGCCAAGAAGCCCCGCTCTGCCGCCAGCGAGAACCCCACAGCTCAGGAAGATGACCGGCTTGGAAAGAACGAAGTATACGATTACCTGCAGGAACCCCTCTTCCAGGCCACCCCTGATCTCTTCCAATACTGGTCATGCGTCACCCAAAAGCACACGAAACTCGCCAAGCTCGCCTTCTGGCTCCTGGCGGTTCCAGCCGTGGGGGCCAGAAGTGGGTGTGTAAATATGTGTGAACAAGCACTTCTAATCAAAAGGAGACGGCTGCTCAGTCCAGAAGATATGAACAAACTCATGTTTCTCAAATCCAACATGCTTTAAGACTTCGGGGGAAAAACAAGAAAAGAAAAGAAAAAAGTGAAGAGAACATTAGGAAAAAAAACACACACACACAACACTGTCACAAAGAAAAGGAATTTAAGTTCTAAACACTGTGGACCTCATTATAAATGCCCCCTGGAAACTTAAGTGCTTTTTCTCCCTGTGTGTGTATGTGTGTGTGTGTGTATGCGCATGCGTGTACACACCCACACGTGTGTGCATATTCGAATGCACATGCTGTGTTCGTGGGAGTGGGTGGGCTCTGTGCTCATCTGCGTGGCCAGAGAAGCTTCCCACGTGCCTGCACACACACAACCCTGGTGCATGCACACAGGCCTGTTTGAGGTCGCGTGTGCATTGAACTGGGTGTGTCAGGAAAGCTGAGCAATTGGGAAAGAGGGAGATATTTCACCTCCTTTTCTCAGTGAGGGGGCTTTAAAGACTCTGTTTTCAGGTGTGCAGATTGGTAGAAAGCTGATGTTGTGAAATGTTCAGGCAGCTGAGATCTGAAGTGACTTGACACTCTCTGCCCTTCACCCCTGTCCCCCATCTCCCTGCCTGCCCCTGCCCCTGCCCTAGCCTTCCCCTCAACCCCCAGCTGCTCTGCCGTGGATTCTCCAAACTGCATCAGATGGACGGTTTCTGCACTGGACTTTGTTTCTCGTTCACCTTCAGGGCATTGAGCTGCTGCCTTCATGATACCCCTCGGGTGTCCCAGGGCAGCGCCTTAGAAACACACCTATCTATCTCCCCAGATCAGGAAAGGAGACTTTAAGAATATAAAGCTGACATTTTGCTTTTTAATATAAGAGAGGAAAAAAGAAAAGACATTTTCCAGGAAAGTATAGGCACTGTCTCCACTCTTTAATAATTTTGTTTCCTGACATTTTAGCAATTTTTACCTAGTTTGGGGGATTCGTTTTATTTCTTCAAATTTGATTTAGACTCTGCTAGGAGGCACTGAATGTCTATAACTTATGTTTTTTGGAGTTTTGTTTTTACTTGCCCCTTTTGTCCTCGAATCACACTGTAAACTAGCTCATCTCAGTGGTATACTCAGTATCCTAAGGTTTTTCTCAGCCTTCCCTGTATAGTTCTATTCTCATGTTTTGGGCAGCCAAGACCAAGATCTTGTCTGTACTGTTTGGAGACCAGGGGTGGGGGAGGAGTCACAGATTCCACAGATGCTGTGGGGTTTGGCAGAAGCCATAGGGGAAGCAGTTGGCTTAGGAGCCCTGAATGTAAGTGAAGAGCCACCCTCCTGGTCCGCCGTGTCTAGTACCGCGAATGTCTGCTTTCTGTACCTAGAGTGCATTACACTACTCGCCACCTCTCTGACCCTTACTGTTCCACAGGGACTCCTGAGTTGATCTGTAGTCACATCCACCACACCTCAGATCCGCCACAGCCTCTCTTCCCTTCCGAGGACCCCAGGGTTCTGGGGTCCCCATATGCACCTCAGACCTGTTTCCAGGACAGTGGTTGAGTGTGGTGCCTTGCGGGCCAGTTGATATTCTGAGGGTGGCAAGGCATTCAACTTGATACTGTGAAAGGTGTTATTAGGCTCTTCTCTCCTGTTCCCTAGCCATTACAATTTAGGTTCTGCATGCACGGTCCAATGCCAAGAGGGTGGTACCATCCGGGCCGATGCCCAACCCTCATCCTGCCTACCAGTGGATAAAGTGCTAGTGGTCCCATGTGGCCCAGTAAACATGGCCGTGGGACAGAGATGGTCACACTAAGGGCTACAGGCTGAGAATGACTACCATTGTGGGGAGCTGTTTGCAAAGGCACCATCTACCATCCTGAGTCAACTCCACCCCTTCCCAGTAATAAAGCATTACTCAACTGTAAGATACCTCGACTACAAAGAGCACTGTACTGCAGCCCTCTCCCTGGGTCCGTGGCAGGAGAAGGAATGAAGTTGTTTGAAAAACTCAAGAAGACTTAGGATCGTGGCCCCAAACCCTGCCCTGGGAACCAAGCCTGCACACTATGCCTCATGAGAACTGACCCAGCTCTCCCCTCCAGAATCTTGAACATACAGAGATGGCTCAAACTGGGCCATCTCCCCATTTGCCCCCAATAAGCCGTGGTCTCAGGAACCGCCCTGTCATCTATTTCCTCTCCTGCAAAAGTTATAGGTTTTTCCTACTGGGGGCCCACCCTCAAATGAGCCTCCATCTACACTGGAGCAGAAACAGGGAGAAATCTGAACAGGAACCTGATGTCACTTCCTAGAGAGAACAGAAACATCAACAGACTTTTCAGTTGGACTTTTGGGGGCATCCCAGGTGGCCTTGGGGTTGCTGGTGATGGGCAGACACTTGCAGCAAAAGCCTCACTTGTGCCAGGGAAGGCACCATGACCTGAAGACTTAACCACACAAGGAGGATTGGAGCTGCCCACTTCATGGGAACAGAACCTCGAAGCCCATCCTCCCTCTGCCTGGAGCAGAATTGTGCTCGGAGTGTCCCTTTTTGGGCCAATTCATTGAAAACTGGGCATTTCTCTTTTTTTGTAAAGCCATCAGAAGCCAAGCCCAGATGTGCATTGAGACCACTCACCATTGTCTGGAACATGAGATGTCTGCCCTCCAGAAAGAAAGAGTAAGTCCTATCTAATATCTGTTCGTAGGTTGTCACCTCCTGTCCCATCTTCCTTTCCACCTCAATTCAGTACTTGGGTTGGGCTTACCCCCTGCAAGTTTCCTGTGAATGCCACTAGGTACCCAGAATTCTGTCTTCTGGGATTGCCTAGTCCGGGTAGATAAGGGGAATGGCAGGTAGTCGTTTCTTTCTTGCAACCCCTGGTTTCTCCAGAAACTAGTTTCACAAATAGGAAAGGCTGTATCAAGGTGCCCTCTCAGTCTGCTTTCCCACACAGGCTGTTCTGAGAGTGCAAATCCTGCTGCAACCAACAGCTTGATAAAACCCAAAGATCTCACAGGTCCAACCACTGGCCCCCTTGTCTCTAGCAATATCCACCTTACCAAATTCTAGTTCAGCCAAAGGATTGAGACCAGTCATTCCAGCTCATCTCCCAGCACCTGACCTAGCCTTCACTTTTGGAAGGATTTTGTCATCTCCTCCCACCCCCAGGTCTGAGACCACCATAGGTCTATCTACCACAGGCCTTTGGGGACTTAGGGATGAGGAAGTTGGGCCATTTCTACCATGTTTTCAGCAGGTCAAGGTGGTTGCCTGCTGATCAGGGTCAGCTCACCTTAAGCCACATGATTCCCAGAACAGAAATGACCTTTGTTTTGATATCCACAGACCCAAGAGGGGAGGGGGAAGAAAATATATCCCCACTTAGCAAGTCTGTTTCCCCCATAACTAAGGTCAGCTTGCTTCACCAACAAAGCCCAAGCCAAGGACTGCAGCATCGTGGCTGGCCCATTGGACTTGGAATGGCCCAAGTAGTCCACCAAGAGCAACAGCGCCATCCTGGTCACAAATGGATGTCCTTGTCCCAGTTCTTTGTCTCCTGATGTGTAGGCTGGCCCAGCCAGGTCTCCCTCCAGTGTCATTCAGAAATCAGAAAACAAAACAGGTGCCATCAGAGCAAAACTGGCTGTGCTTCTCTGGGGGAGCACAGAGGTCACCTACTGTGTCACGAACAAGGAAGCTTCAGCACCATCCCACTTGGGAGCTTCATGCTTGGAATTTGGGATTGGCTCCTTGGCTGGGAAAAGGGTCCTGGGGTTTCCTGGCAAGGCCAGAAGGGCTGTCCAGTGACACACATGAGAAGCTGTGGGTCTCCAGGATTCTAGGAAGACACCAGGTGTGTGGACTGCAAAGAGTCCTCTGGGTTTGACCTTTTATCTCCAGCACTTTCAAGAAACACCAGAGAAGAATTCCATAGGGTATGTTTTCCACTGTGAAACTGAACCTCTGTCTTTAGGAGTCCCTGTTCTTGAGAAATGCTACCTGCTTCCCCTGGACTTGGGCTGGACGCCTTGAAGAGTGGGTACCTGGAGGCATGTTAGGGATTGAGCACATGCTGTCTGGGAAGATGGAAGATGGGATATGGAGGGAGAAGGGAGGGCCTGTGAGATGGCCCAGCAGGGGACAGTACCCAGATCTTGTCATCATGATGGATGTGCTCAAAAGAGGAGAAGCACCTGATGAGTGGCCAAGTCCATAGCTTTGCCCTTGCTGTGGGAACAGTGGCAATGCCTCTGTCTCTGGGATGCATCTGGAGGAGGGCTTGTGGGAAGGCAAATGGTTTAGACAGAACCAAGAGACTAAGTAAAGCCCAGCTGTCCCCTGGAGCCAGTGGACAGGAGCTCTTGTCCTGGCCAGCTGAGCCAGCGGGAGAACTGGGAAGGAGGCTATCCCTCCCTTCACTGTGGCTAATGTTTGCTAGGCCAGTTATGGTGAACCAATGATACAGTGTTTTCCCTCCTCTGTTTCCCTCCTAGTTTCCCCTTTTTGGGGTTTTCTGGGGATTTCGTTGTTGTAGTTGTTTTTCTTCCTCATTTGGGTTTGAGGATCATGGTTACAGGAGCCCTTTGCTGAAGGATCCCCGTGGTCTCTGAAGAGGTGCCTGCTGCGAGTGAAGATCGCCAGGTCCCTGTTGGACACGTTCATGCCCCCACCAACCACCACAGGTGTCACTTTAAGGATTTAATTCCTGTATGGGGAAAGACTGGCTGGGTTTGCAGCTCAGGTCCCACCCTCCCGTATGTCTCAGTGGGCACCTTGACTCTTCAAACCAAAATTCCTTAAAGGGGCACAGCCCAGCCTTGTCTGCAACCTCAGGGGCCTGGCATTCCTGCAGCACTTCCAAAGTCCAGGCTGGCACAGACTATATAGTCTGGGGCCCACTGGAAGGAGGCATTCCTCCCACAACCCAGGTGCCAGCCGGTTTCTGCCTAGGACCCTCCCTCTGGCCCGGCCAGGCTTCCCAAGTGGTGAGTGTGCAAGGTTGTGGACTGACACAGGGCTGGGCCTCAGCCAGTTGGGAAAATGCAAGGGCCACACTGTAGGGCTGGGGACCCCCAGACCCCAGGTACCTCCTCCAGGGCCATTCAGATCCCAAGCATCAGGAAATCATTTTTTTTAAACAACCTGAAGCAGAGATATTTTTTAAAAAGCGTAAATTATTTTGAGTTTTCTGATCCTACCTTTTCCTTTTCACGTCAGTGAATTCGTTCACATCAGGTAAATCTTGAGAAAGCCTTGGTGCCCTCCTCCCCCCCACACTCAGTAACCACGTGCGTGCACACCCATCCTTTCTCAGTAGTTAAGACGTTCTAGGCAATACCATAGACACATCTGACTGTGTCTCTCTCTTCGAGTGCAAGAAACTCAAGTCATCTTAAAAAAAATACAAAAAAAATTTACAAAAAAACAAACACAAAAAAATATCTTTTTTAGGCCAGAGTTTTCTACAGGTATTAATGAATATTTTTCTTAATCCTTATAAGTTTTATGTGTTTAATATTTCTTAATACCGGTAGCATTAATTTATACTTTTGTAGCAACACAATATTTTTATAAACAGCCAGTGCTTGGCTCAAGTCTTCACGAGGGGTTTATGCAGGGCCATCTTGGGGACCCTGTGTACCATGTACTGTATTTAAAAAAAAAAAGTTACCTAGTGTCACACTTGCTGTGTTAAAGTTGTGTGCGGTCTCCTGTATCGTTGGTGTGGATCCAACAGCTCTCCAAGGAGTCAATTGCATGGGGGTTGAGTTGACAGTTCTTGTGATATGTAAAACCCCCGAGACCAAACTTGAGGGTTCATTTAGGGTTTTCTGTTTGTCCTTCGGGTTTTTGTTTGACTATGTTTTGGTACTGTTTCTCCATTTACAGCCAAATCAGTTTCATGATGTTTAAAACTTTTACTGATGTCAAATGGAGGAAAGGAATAGAGAAAAAAAAAAACTTTTTTTTTACAAAGTAATAAAAGTTTAAAACTGAGCTGTTTAAATGTTACTGTTTTCTACCTGTGTCTGTTTTTGTCCAAAAGTGGAACATTTCCAAGGGAGAAAAGGAAGGTTCCACTGGGTTCCTTAAATCACCAAAAGCCCCAGCTCAAGATTCAGTACCTCCCCGAACCCCTGAATTCTTGCGACATTATTTCCCAGTTGGTTGACGCCAAGGCAAAAAGACGTCCTTTTAATGGTTAGAGAGGATCAGTTGCATAAATGATTTCATGTCAGTGTTGTATTTATGGTTTTACAATAAAACAACCTTTAGGAAGATGCAGTGTGTGGTGTTTTTTTCTTGGGTTTGGGAATGGGCCATGCCACCCTGAAGGGTGCAGTAATTGGAGATGGAGTGACAGGGCCACTGGGGTTAGAGCTCACTCCATCCCCAGGGAAGGATGTGTGGGGCTGGGGCTGTGGATGTCCAACCTGGGAGCTCCTGGCTCTTTTCTAGCACTAGACCCAGCTCAGCTACATTGGATAAATGTGGGCAGGACGTAGCCAGGGAAGCTGTGACCCCGGGTGGGATGTGGAAGAAGGGAAGGAGTTAGTCTGAGTCCTCCAAGCCCAGTGCCTAAGCCCCACGTCCAGGTTGCCTCTGCCCTGTGGTCATCTGTCAGGCCCTCTCCCCAGCAGTTTCGGCCTCCCAAACTGTGTGGCATTTACAGCTATTGTGCATATCATCCATGTCCTGGAGAAGAGGGTCTGGTTTTTGCCAAATTCCTGATGGGATTTGGCAAAAGGCATGAGGAACTCCACGGTGAGTGGTGGGAGGCCTGCCCGGGTGGCCTTGCCTGGACCCTGACATCTTGTGCAGCTACAAGGACACCAATGCTTTTCTTCAGTGGAACTGAGCCAAAGGCAAGAGACACCCCCCAGCAGGCCTCCTATTGCTGAAGCAGACTATTAGGAGGTGAAGCTGCCGTCCTGCCATCCAGGTAAGTTAGTCACAGACATCCCAGGCCTTGGCTTTACTAGGTATGAGTAACTACTTAAAAATAGAGGATGTATCCACTCCAGTCGCCTGAGAAGCTGCTATCAAGTCGCATGTGTAACAGCATGAAGAGGCTGGTAAACGGGGCCAGCATCCCAAAGAGCAGCAGCCCTGCCCTCAGACCATCCTGCCAAGGGTGGTTCATGCTAAGTGGACTTGTGTGGACATTCCTGAGCCAGCAGTTGAAGTTTGGGTCGGGGGGATTCTGTGCCATCTCCGCTAACAGCCGTGAGTCTTGCTGTGGCCCAAGAAATTGTCCCTCATGCCTTAAACATGACAATCAAATAAGGGCCAGGAGCCCTCAAAGTTGAGAGACCATCTTCTGGATATATTTTTTTAATGTTTTAAAAAGGAAAGAAAAAAAATGTATGTTTCTTGCTTAACCAACCACATTTCTTTTGTAACAGAAATGAGTTGAGTGGGACCAGTACCTTCAAGAGGAAAACTTGAGGTGAGACTATTTAAGAATTGAGTGACTCTTCAGGGAAGGGGCATCCACTGTACTGAGGATGACTCCTGGTGCTTTCTGAGACGACCAGTGTGAATTTCTGTGACTCCAGGTCCCACCCCCAAGGGATAAAGTCAGGAAATATATATATGTATATATGCGTGTATCTATAGGCATATATATATTTTTTTCCTGGTTTTTAGTGACAAGTTGGAGCTGTGTCACAGAGATAAATGCCTTAGGGACCAGGCTGGTTGGCCAACAGGGCCACACCAAGAGATGCCCTTCTAGGGGATCTCGATCTCCAGTAAGCTTTGGTCTGCTGTTAGCATTTAGAATGCAGGCTCAGGGCCCCCAAGACATCCGTTTTCAAGAGAGTTGAGAAACAGATGTTTATGTGGAGGCTGAGTTTTTAAATGGTGAAGTCAGAGCTTGAAAAAATACCCTGGGTGCCAAACGGCCACTTGGCAGCCCGTGTACCTGTAGCCTGCACCTTGCTGGTTAACCATTTGCCTTTCATTTTAGGTCACCTCAAAATACTGCTCTTCAGAATGGCCCCATCACGTTGCCTTTGACAGCTAGCCCTGGTGGGAAGCATATATGGAGGGGGACGGGGTAGAGGTCAGGACAGGGAGGACATTTGGAGGGCTTTTGTCACATCCCTCTGAACAACTGCCTCCTGCCCCTGACCCCAAGGAGTCCCAGCCATGGCCACAACACTGTCCCTTAGAACAGTCCTTGGCTCGGCCCCTGTGGCTCAAGTGGCTAAGGCGCCAGCCACATACACCTAAGGTGGCGGGTTCGAATCCAGCCCGGGCCCACCAAACAACAATGGCTGCAACCAAAAAATAGCTGGTGGTGGGTGCCTGTGGTCCCAGCTACTTGGGAGGCGGAGGCAGGAGATTCGCTTGAGCCCAGGAGTTGGAGGTTGCTGTAAGCTGTGAGGCCACGGCACTCTACCCAGGGGGACAGCTTGAGGCTCTGTCTCAGAAAAAAAAAAAAAACAGTCCTCTCTGCTGAAACCTGAAAGTCCCAAGATCAAGACTCTGGGGAAGCCAAAGGGAAGGGATTGATGTATCTGACCCAGGAGGCTACAAAGCTTTCTACATCCAAATCCTTCCCTCTGGGCTCATCCCTCAACAAGTGGCAGGGAATCCTCCCTCTTTCATCCTGACAGGTCTCAAGCAACCCCTGGACTGAACTAGTCACAGGCTCTTAAGAGGCCAGTCACCACCTGGAGGAATGTGGGCCCTGCATGGGTTGTCTGCTGCCAGGGTTAGCTCTCCTCAGCACACAAAGCTGGGCAGCATTCATCGAGGCTCTGGGTGGATGCAGTCAGCAAGCAAGAGATGTTTATATTACAAATCAGCCAGGTGTGGTAGCTCGCACCTCTAATCCTCGTACTTCAGGAAGCTGAGACAGGAGAATCCCTTAAGCCCAGGAGTTCAAGACCAGCTTGGACAATATAGCAAGACCCTATCTCCTCAAAAAAAAATTATAAAATTAGCCAGATGTCATAGCACACACTCATCCTAGCTACTTAAGAGGCTGCGGCAGGGGGATTATTTAGGCCTAGGATTTTGAGGCCCAATCAACTATGAACTATGAATCACAAACTACAATCAGGCCACTGCATTCTAACCCAGGTAACAGGACAAGACCTGTCTCTGAAGGCAAGAGAGATTTAAAATCAGATGTTTGTAAATCCAGTACAGATAGGCAAACTGGAGGCTTGGAGTTGTGTCTTTGGATCAGCTTGGCCCTTGAGCTGTCCTGGACAGACAGCTCACCTACTCTCATTCCCAAGGGAAGTGAAGCCAGGTCAGGCCAAGGGCCTACCTGGTTGGTTCCAGACATAACCCGAAGGCATGCTGGTGAGCATCCTCCTTCCATGACAAAAAGCCAGAGTAAGGATCCCAGGGCACAGGGATCCTTAAGGAAAAAGAGCGGAGGCTTTCCATCTCCTGCCAGCTGAATCTGAGACCTGGGCTACAGTTGAAATAAAACATTGGAGAGGCATTTGGTGTGGCAAAGGACAGGAGTGTTATTTCAAGTCCTTGTGGGCTGTGTGCCCTGAGCTCCCTGGGCAGAACAAGCAAAATGATTTCTTCTGACCCTGGGTCACATGACCCCTGCTAGGCTTCTCTCAGAAACAAGTGCCCAGAGTGTCATCTTCTTTTCTTTTCTAGCCTTATTCAAACAAAGCAAAACTATCCCATTTTACACTATTATGCGGTAAATAGAACTGTGATTTATGTTTCATAATTTGCATAGCAATTTCACATACTGAAGACAGCTCTATTACGTCCCAGCCATACCTTTCTCACTGCTATGGAAAGCTGGGGTACCCATATACCCACCTCGGTTTTGTACCCCCCCCCAACTCCCACCACCTTATACTTTGATGATAATGGACACTCAGAACACAGACTTTTGGTTTTTATTTGTACCTAGGTCATTTGGCCCCAGCTTGCATGGGGCCCTGGGACAGACACTGGCCAGCTCCAGCTTACAGACGAGCCAGGGATCAGGATGAGCCAGGAATCGGCAGCAGGTCCTCATCCCCTGTGGACACAGATAGGCTCAGGGAGGGAACACTTGGGATGGAGGATTGGGGAGGTGCTCTGGAGAGGGAAGGCACCCTTGCTGAAGGGCTGATCTCCACAGGGCATTGCACAGAATGATCTGATTTTTTTGCCTTTTCTATTTTTCCATAGGTGCCATTCTCCAGGGGGAAGATCAAGGTACAGAACTCTTGACTGGCTGATGTTCCCTGGAATGCTGTCATTGTTGCCACTGGTTCAGTGTGGTCATTACTAGTAGCAGGTGCCATTAGCTGAGTACTAACTCCGGGCCCGGCCCTCTGCAGCCAGGAGGCAGTGGGTGCTTTGTCCCATTTTACAAGGAAAAAATTGAAGCTGAAATTGGCACTTGCTCAATGTGGCCGCCATAAATGTGGTGGCACCAGCATTAGTGCCACTTCACATGGCATTACCCATGCCTGGCTATCACGCCCCGGATGCCCAGTTCCAGCTGAATTAAGGCCTCAGGTTTGGCCTTATTTCACAGATACGAAGCTGAGGCCCAGAACATGGATAGGCTGCTCACCAGACAGAGTCTAGAACTCAGCTCTGCAGACCCCCACAGCCTAACAGGACCCTCCCACGTAGACCTTGCCAGACCCTTAGCCCAGCCTGGCACCCCGCAGGGCTTCCTACCATCACCAGGGACACCACAGTACTCCTTGCACTCCTTCTCTGAGTAGAACTTGTTGCCGTTGCCCTGGCAGCCGCCATAGACAAAGAGGACACACTTGCCCTGGGCAGCATCAAATGCCCAGAGCTTGTTGAAAGCTCGGCAGGGGCCAGGAACTATGGGCAGATTGCAGGCCGCTGTGGGGCAGAAAGAGGCCATCAATCATCCTTGCAACCATAGACTGGGCACATCCGGGGCTGCTGGGACCCTGCTTGTTTAGAACCCTTGTCTCTTCTTTGACAGGTGAGGAAACTAAGGTCCACAAAAAGAAAAGTAACTTGCCTGGGGCCTTCCATGTCCTAATGTGGAATTCTGTGATTTCAGAAAACTTGCCCTGGAGTTCCATCATGGAAACACCCTCAACTCCCTTTTCAGTTGGCAGGTAGTTTGCTGAGTGGGGACATTGTCACAGGGTGTAGAATACACAGAGGCAGGACCCATATTCACCCACGGTTCTGCAGGTCTGCAGACAGTCCTTCTCTGAGACAAAGTTGTTGCCGTTGCCCATACAGCCACCATACTGGAAGGTCTCACAGGCCATGGATGTGCCATTGTAGAAGTACCTTTTGGTCAGCCCCATGCAGGGACCGGCAGAGTAGCCCAGCTGGCAGGAGTCTGGGGGAGGGAAACAGCAGCACTTCCCAATATGCACAGTGCATTATTATCAGTGAGGCACATCATTTCATTTTCACCTCTATACTAAAAGGAAGGATTATCAACTCATTTCTAGATGAAGAAACTGACCCTCAGAGAGGTTAAGTGAGCTGAGATTCAAAACCATGTCTCTTGGTCTCCAGAACCAATGCTCATTCCACTCTGTGAGGTGGGAAGTGACTCAGAGACCAACCATCCCCCATGTTGGTCTTATCTGCCCCCAAATTCTGTAAGAGAAGTTGATATCATCACCAACCTCTTGGTAATGCTGCTCTCCTGACCCCTTCACTGAGTCCCACTCTCTTGCCTTTGTACTCATTGTTCCTCAGCCCTGGAATGTCTCTCCCTGCATAAAACTACTTGGATGCCTGACCACAGCAGGGACTCCCCATCCCCACTCCATCCTCTGAGCTCCTCCAGCCCCTTAGCTGACCCTCCTATTAGGGCCCATTGTGTTCTTTGGACTCCTCTCCAACTAGACCAAAAGGGCCAAGACAACATGAGTGGCCTATCCTTGTGACCCCAGTGCCTAGCACAGGGCCCGGACAGAGTGCTGAGCAGTTGGAGAGAGAGTTGTCCATGGACAGTGTCAACTACACAGAGAACCCTTACGCCCTTCCCCACTTGCTCCTACAAGAGTACTGATGTCACCTAACAGGTTTAATGTAGGGGTATATGGCACACCTCTAGGGTGAAAGACTCAAGGACAATTCAGACTTTACCTTACAAACACAACAAATGCAAACAATGTAACCTAATCTATATACCGTCATATTAACCTGAAATTTAAAAAAAAAGAAAAAAAAAACGTGCTGATGGTCAGCCCAACAGGCAGTTACCCCATAGACTAGATGAGAAGCCAAGGCCAGGATGCCACACGGTCACACAGGCAGGGCAAAGATTAGCTTCTCATAATGGAGCTGACAGTCCCTAAGCTCAGGACCAAGCCTTATGTTCCTCTCTCCCACCATGGCTCTGGCACAGTGTGAGCTACTTGCTTTGCCTTTTCTCAGCTCAGCCCTTGAGTCTCTAACAGATAAAGAAATGTCACAGTGATGAGAACATCCAGGGTGAGCCAACCATCAGCCCCTTGTCTGGAGCACGGCAGAGAAGGTGAAAAGGCAGGTGTTCATTACCTTCTTTCTTGGTGATCTCGGATACTAGTTGCCCAGTCCCTGATCCTTCGTCTTCTTGGGGTAACACAGCCCGCCGGGCCCTCTGGGGAGAAGAAGAGAAGAAGCTGTTTCTGGCATCTCATCACTACTGTTCATTAGTATCCCTGGAATATATAAATAGGTCCTTTGCTTTGGGAATCAGGGTATAGATAGAAGCACAGCTACTGGATTGGTTAATGGACTGTTCACCAAATCAACCTGAACTCTAGAATGGGCATCACAGGATAGATTTCTGGACTGAAATGAAAATCAGAACTATGAGATATCACAATACCCAATATTCAACTTCCAGTTGAAGTGCCTAAAGAAATACAATAATGGAAAAGAATCTCTCCCAGAGTTGAAAATCAAGAGAAAACAGCATTCTTAGAAATGTGGAGGCATTTTTGCATGACACAGTGTGGGCACAACTCATTTGCAGGAAGGGCTGCCCAGACTATTATTAGCTGCTTGTGAAGGAAAAATCCATCCAGAGAGAAAGAAGGAACCTCAAGACTGACCCTAACTCCTGGCTATGGTGGTGAGGACTACAGCACAGGGTAGGCTACCAAAGCTGTCAAGAGAGTATATGGGTATAGGGTGCTCAGAGGAGGGGTCCCAGGGCAATTAAAGAAGGGATGATCAGGGACTACTGGCCACCAGGTAGCCATCCTGTTCACAGGTGAGACCTGGAACTTAAAATGCTAGAACTAAAGTGACCTTCAACTTTATGCTTTTATGGTACAACTGAAAACTATGAAAACTGCCAGGGACTCTCGCTCTCTGCCAGACCCATCTCACGATGATGGCATATAGGTTTTCCTTTGTGAGGCTGGAGAATGGAGAAAAGTCACGGGACAAGTTAAATGATGCTGCTGCTCAGATGAATTGGATGGAACTAAAGAAATATCCCCATAAAATAAAACACAGGATAACAGTAACAGGAGAAAACTAAACCATCAATGAAATTCAAGATTATAGGCACCAATGTAACAGTGATGGAAATGTACACATGGAAGAAGAAAATTATCAGACATAGAAAACATGTTGAATTTAACTAATAGTAGAGATAATAAACTGCAGTTTAGATACTATAGGAAATAATCCACATGATAGAGATTCTAGAAGGAGAGGAAATCAATATAGACATCAAAGAAGAAAACTTTTCTGAGTTGAATCACCAATAACAAGGAAAAAGGAAATCACACACACAAAAAAATCAATGAATAGCTCTTTCTTAGATGTTCCTAAGGATAAAGAGCCTGATGGCCCTCAGAGTAAATGATAGCATTTAATGACAAAAGCCTCAGAGCAATATTTTGAGGGTTATAAGAGAAAAGGCTGTAACCCAGGGATCCTTCATTGGTCCAAGCTGTTGATCATGTGATATAACTACAGAAAGACACTCAGCCATGCAAGGGTCCAGAAGTTTGCCATCCATGCAAAAATTACTTGTAGAGCTATTCCCACCAATTGACAAATCTAAATGCTAGACATTGAAGATCTTATAGCAAAGAAATGGTGGAAAGCTATAAAGCAAATAAAATATAGAGTTAAAAAATAATTGCTAATAATGTAGATATTTGAAAATTCTTTTTAAAAATGTAGAGAAAGAATCTCAGATCTTATTCACAAAAATAGGTACGTAAGAAACATAGCTCGGCGCCTATAGCTCAACCGGCTAAGGCGCCAGCCACGTACACCTAAGGTGGCGGGTTCGAATCCCCAGCCCGGACCCGCCAAACAACGATGGCTGCAACCAAAAAATAGCCGGGCGTTGTGGCGGGCGCCTGTGGTCCCAGCTACTTGGGAGGTGGAGGCAGGAGACTCGCTTGAGCCCAGGAGTTGGAGGTTGCTGTGAGCTGTAATGCCACGGCACTCTGCCCAGGGGGACAGCTTGAGGCTCTGTCTCAAAAAAAAAAAAAAAAAAAGAAACATAAAAGGATAAAAATAAACAGAAACAGAAATACAGGTGTGCTATATTTATGTCCTTTGTAGGAGGAGTCATTGTTTCATTCTTGACATTGATAAAGAAATATAGATTTATTTGAGATCTGTATTAAGATAACAGATGGAAACTCTTTTCAAAAGTTCTTTCTAAGTTTGTACCTATAATCCCAGCTACTCAGGAAGCTGAGGCAGGAGGATTGCTTGAACCCAGGAGTTTGAGGCTGCAGTGCCTCAAACTATACTCCAGCCTGAGTGGCACAAGGAGACCCTATCTTTAGAAAACAAGAACAACAACAAAGAAATTTTCATGCCGAGCACTCTGGGAAGCTGAGGCAGGAGGATTACTTGAGCTCAGGAGTTAGAGACCAGCCTGAGCAAAAGCAAGACCCTGTCTCTACTAACAATAGGAAACAATAGCTGGGTGTTGTGGTGGGTGCCTATAGTCCCAGATACTTGGGAGATTGAGGCAGGAAGATCACTTGAGTCTAGGAGTTTGAGGTTGCTGTGAGCTAGGCTGATACCTGGCACTCTAGCCTGGGCAAGCAAGACTCTGTCTTAAAAAACAAAATAAACAAAAACTCTCCCCAATACTTAGCAAAAAATTTTAAAAACACAGCCCCCAAATTCTGATCAATATCATTTAAACAAACAAAAAGGTCATAATTTAAACCCCAAAATTTTAAAACTGGCAATCAAGAAAAGAAACAAAACATTCTGGAAGTAAAAGAATGCTTCAGCAGGGTATAGCTCTTAACCGTTAATTACTCTCCAATCTCCAGGACAGGTATGTCATCAGAGTTAGAATTCTTCCTAGTACTTCCAAATCCAGAGAGAAGAAAACTGAGGGGCACCCCATCTTTTCCTTTCCTGACAAAGTAGTGAAAATGGCTTCTGGGGAGAAAGGGTAAAAAGGCAAAGTAGACTAGGGTTCAAGTCTAATGGAAGTGAATGTTCTGGGGCTACACAGTCTAATGCTCCAGGCTATTTTGCCACTGGACAGATGTATATCACAATACCCCCAAACAGACATGAGCCTTATATAGGATATTTAGCAGTCCTTTAAAAGAGAAGCAGAGGAAGGATGTCATGAACTGAATTGTGCCCCCCCCATTCATATACTGGAGTCATAACTCCCAATACTTCAGAAGGTGACCTTATTTTGAAATAGGGTTGTAATTAAGATGAGGTCATTAGGGTGGAGCCTAATGCAATATGAATGGTGTCCTTATAAAAAGGGGAAATTTTCACACAGAGACATGTATACTCTAATAATGCCATGTGAAGATGAAGGTAGCAGTTGGGGTGATGGTTCTACAAACCAAGGAAAACCACTGCCAGCAAACCACCAGCAGCCAGGGGAGACGTATGGAATGGAGTCTTTCTCATAGCCCTCAAAAGGAGCCCACCCTTCCAACACCTTGATCTTGAACTTCTGGCCTCCAGAACTATGAAATAATAAATTTATGTCATGTAAACTCCCAGTCTGTGGAACTTTGTTATGGCAGCCCTAGAAAATTAATACATACGGCTTTAGGACCCACATGGTACACCTTGGGGCAGCTTTTCAGCCATGCCCTTTCACCATTCCTTTGGAATTCATAAAGGTAGATGAACACAAAATACCCAGACTTTATACTAAAGTAAGGATGGGTTTGGGGGGAGGGGAATTGGGATTAGACTCAAATTTGGTGGAAGAGGGCCAAGGATAAATGACACTTCCTCCCCACCATATCAGCAGTCTGGATACAGCTGACTGTACAGGGGCAAACTAAAGAAAACTGGCAGGGAAACTAAACCACCTCGGAAGTGAATAAAAAAATAAAGTGAACAAAGGTAAGAGCCCAACTGTGCTGAGCACTGACATAAACTGCCTAGATTTCACCTCTGTGATGGGCTTCAGCTGCTGGAAGTTCTGCTGTCAGATGGCCCTAGAGGTCAGCCCATTTGGAGACTACCTCTGCTAAAGGACACATTTTACCCAGTTCACTCTCCCTCCTCAGTCTGATCAACGTGATGGAATTAAGGTCCTACCCCTTTGGACCATCTTGGGACAACTCTGAAGTGTTGTCCCCGCTTCAGAGGTACCTGCAGAGTTGGCTAAGGTATCCTGACTTCATCACAGCTCCACTTCTCCCTGTGCCCAATCCTGCCTGCCTGCCTGCCCCTCACAGCTCTTTATCCTGTGATACCAGGAGAAAACAGAACTTAAAGAACAGAAGGAAATGCCTCAATGGCTCCAAGCTATAGAGCTACTTAAGCAGAACATACTAATTTCAAGAGAAGGCTCAAAGATGAAATGCTAAAACAACAGAATAAGATGAAGAGTGAATCCAGGTCTACACAGATAAATTGAGAAACAACATAACATAAATTCAGAAGGAGTAAATTAGAAATAGTAAGAACAGAATGACTGCTAAAATAGAATGACTATCATTAAAGAAAAGCCACTGATAATCTCAATGAATGCAGATGAAACAGACAAAGAGTCGAAAGCAATTGTGGAGAAACCAGTAGATGTGGAAGACAAAGATGCACCGGGATGAGAGAATAAATGTTCCTAAGGTAGTAAAACCCAACAAAGAGAATGGGAGATGAAGCCAATGGAAGAGCGTAAGAAATTTCCCTTAAATACATACAGAAGAAATGTAATCTGCATATGGAAAGAGCATGTTGTATTCCAGGAAATTTTTGTATTGAATTTTCAACACCAATACATGTCCTGGTTAAGACGCTATCTTTAGTGATCATTTTCCCAGGCATCTGGGCATAAGAAATAAATTGTCTACAAGGAGAAGAAATATCACACTGGGCTCAGGGTTTTCAAAGCAGTAATTGGTGCTTGAGAATAACGGAGCAACATATCCAAAGTTCCAAGGTCATGACTTGAAACTACTACACTCAAACTACCACACTGTGCGGTATGGACGGTGTCAAATAATGGAAGAATTCATGAATTAAAACACCCACGAACCTTCCGCAGAAACACCATGTGGCAAAGAAATGGCAGTGGTTAAGAAATAAAAATGAATAACTCGGAAACTATGTTTAGTAAAAGTGAATGTAAAATCCAGCAAAATACACAACTACTACAATAAGACTCTACAGATTTTGACAGAAGAGATGGGAATTGCACCAATCAGGACAATGTAAATGACCAACGGAAGAGGGGCGGGAACAAAGTTTGAGAACCCTCATGTCTATCTTTCAAATCATGGAGGCAATAAACATATTCATTAAATGGATATATAGCTATGCCAGTCTCTTAAATATCTCTTCACAGCCTGGACTTATTTTAGAAGAATCTTTAGGACATAAACCTCTCGTGATAAAAAAATATTTGAGGTTCAAGAAAGTGGTGGCTGATGGCCCAGACCTGAGGCTCAAGAATATTGGGGGTCCAGTTCTTTTTAATAAAAATTTGAATAAAACTATAAGTACTTTTAAAAATTAAAGATAGCATCTACAAAATAATCCCACTTAGTAACAGTATAGCTCTAAATATTTCTGTACATTTATCCTTTTCTTCTGTCTGTCCTTTTATCTACATATATGTCAAGATTCCTGGAATGATGAATGCTAATAGTTTTGGGGTGGTGAGAGTTTAAAAAATATTTTACTTATCTTTACGCATTCCTGCATTGTTTTAGTTCTTTCCAATAAGCATGTGTTAGTTGTATAAAATCAGCGGTCATTTTTCTTTAAAAATATAGGAGCAACTACATAATATGTTAGTAGTATTAGTTCTACTTTGGAATAAGGACATTTTGTCTTTTTTCTTTTTTGCTTTTTTTGTGGATTTTCAATTTGGAGGGTATGTTTCTAAATAAATATTACATATGTTAATATACACATACATACACAGACGCATATACATATATACATATGCATACACACATGAGTAGAATAAATTAGGATCTATGACTTCCAAATAATCAGAGAAAGAAGAATGAATCGATACAGCAAAAGGTGGGAAAGTAAAAGAATAAGGAAGCCCAGAAGATGAGAAGGCAGCACAGGAGATGAGATGGTTTGAGAAGCTGCTTATTCTCAAGTTTGCTGTTGTTTAAGGAAATCAGTTGACTTTATTTTCACATATCGAGTATTATTATTTCATTATTAAGTGTTTCGTTTCTTTTAGGTATTTTTAGGCACTATGCTCAGCGTTTTTCTACATGTCACTAAATACTAGCACAACCCCAGAAGTTAAGCGTTTATCCCATTTCAAAGGTGAGAAAAGTGAGGTCCAGATGGGGAAGCAGCCTGCCCAGGGGCAGAATCAAGATTGAGTGCAGGTGGGCCTGCCTTTAAAACTCATGCCTGACACTACCTGCACTCAGCCCTCTCAAATTACTCCACCCCCACCACGCCAGGACCTGAGCGGGGCTGACCAAAACCCAGTGTGCAGGATCCCTGGGTAGCAGTGAGGTACTCACAGTGGGTGGGGTGGGCTCTGGTTCTCGCTCCCCGGGGACACATTCACCTAGGTCAAAGGACAGGAGACAGGAGTGAATAAGAAGACGAAGCTCTGGGGCAACCTGAGGCCCAGATTTGTTTCTTTTACAGAGTCAGGCAGGCATTGTGCAGGGACAGGTCTGGGCCATCAGCCACCACCTCATGAATGGGGACTTGCTCAAGGATATTCACAGGAAAAGCAACAGACTGGTGGATGCACCCTGACTACCATCTGTTCACCCCACCCTGCCCCAGCAGCATTATTTCCTCAGCATCATCACAAGAACTGCAAGAGCTAACATTTATGGAGCACTTACTAGGCACAGGGCTTCATCTCCTTGGCTCCTCACAGTAACTCATAAGAGAGGCATTGTTATCCCCATTTTACAGATGAGGAAAATGAGGCTCTGAGAGGCTGACTAACCAGCAGCCACACAGCTGTTTGAACCCAGGAGCCTGACTCCAGACCACATGCTCTGTTGCCTCCTAAGAGGTACCTATGGATTCCAAATACAACCTCCCTGAGACACCCAACAATAGACTGAATTGATTCTAGTCCCGGCCCTGCCAGGTACCAGCTGTGAAACTTAGAGCAAATCCAGCGGCTTCCTGATTATCCTACAAAGAATGAAGGTGGGGCTGGGGTCCCTGTTTATCTCACAGGATTACAGTAAAGACCCAGGACCTGGGATAGTCTCTGAGGGCCATAAAGATGGGCTGGGTGCCATGTACCTCTGTTAGCCAAGGTGAAAATGGAGTTATCAGGGATGCCCACACCCTGGGCGACCGCTCTGAAGTCCTGCAGGAGGCTTTCCCTCAGCTGTGGCTCCCGCCCTGCAAGAGGAAAGCAGAGAAGACACATAGAACACCAGGCGCCTGGGCCTGCAGGGCCTGGGACAGTTTTTCCCAGTGATTTTCATTTAGGGAAAGTTTGAAAACTGTTGAGCCAGTTCAATCTTGAAATACTTCCAGAAAGATAGGCTCCCAGGGAGGAAGCGGGGTCCCTCCTGGGCTCCAACCAGGGCCTCCTGTGTCCTTACACAAGGCTCTGCCCACTGAATCTTTTAAGGGCATGGAGGCTCTGGAATTCTCTGGGTCTGGAATTTTACAGATCAAAACAAGAAGATTCCACCTTAAATGGGAAACTCAGATCTACTCCCTCTCCAGGCACAGCCAATGCTTGTACCTTCACCCTAACTGGAGTTTCCTAAGAAGGAAAAAGCAAAACTGCCTGCTCCTGTCCATTCCACTGAGCAGAGATCAGTGGTCTCCTCCCACCCCTGGTTCTGACGGGCTCACCTAGTTATAGGACATTACCATAGAGCTTGGCGGTCATGGTGGGCCCGTGGCGGCGGCTGAATTTCTTGGTCAGCAAAATGGCATATTCATCATAGTTGGTGTGGACCACGTAGGACTCCATGGTTATGTTCCATTCTGCACAGACATGCAGGCAGACCGAAGGGATCAGGGCTGAAGGCTCTTCTAGCTGGAGACCCAGCACCTGTTCATCCCTGCTTCATTCCTTCACCCATCATCTATCTGCCCATCCCTTCCGTCTAACCATTTGACCATTCATCCATCTTTAGTCTCTCTCTCTGCCCACCCATCTATCTCTTCCATATATTCATTATTAACCAATTCACCATCATTCTATCCACCTCCATTCATCAATCCATCTCCCTTCCTCCCTTCTTTCCCCTGTCAATCCACCAATGTATCCACATGTGTTTATCCACATATATATTTACCAATCCATTTTACTTGTTCAATCACTTTTTGTCCATTCATCCATCTAGCCAAAGATTCATGTTTTCTTTTATTTATTTATTTATTCATTTTTTTAGAGACAGAATCTCACCTTATTGCCCTTGGTAGAGTGCCGTGGCATCACAGCTCACAGCAACCTCCAACTTCTGGACTCAGGCAACTCTCTTGCCTCAGCCTCCCAAGTAGCTGGGACTGCAGGCATCCGCCACAATGCCCAGCTATTCTTTTTGTTGTTGTTGTTGTGGCAGTTTGGCCGGGGCCAAGTTCAAACCTGCCACCCTCGGTATATGGGGCTGGCGCCCTACCCACTGAGCCACAGGCGCTACCCAACATCCATATTTTCGTCCCTAACACAATTATTCGGCACATAGAGCATATTCAACAAACACGTGCTGAGTTAATGAACAGGTTCATATACAAATGCTTCTTGGTACCATGCACACTGTACGTGGTAGATGTTTAGTCCATTTTTATCATTGAAGATGCCTAACAAGACATGAAGACTGGTGAGGTGAGCACCATCACCCTGTTCTGAGTGCACGTGCTGAGGCTGGGGGCAGAAGGGAGACAGAGAGGGAGGAGGTGAGGAGGAGGGGAAGGAGGAAGAACTGCTATTTAGGAGAAGACCAGATGGCATCTCAGCTAAATGGGAGGAAAGGTTACAGAAGCAGAGAGAGCTGAGGACATCAAGGTATCTTTGAGCAAAGGTGACAACATGGACGCCTCCTTCCACCGTACTTACTGGGCTTGTGATAGAGAAACTTCCCATCAGTGCTTGTTTTCTCATAAGCCCCAGAGATCTCCTCACAGACACCTTTCCTGGAAATAAGCAAACCAAAGGGCAAGTCACTTCCAGGAGAGCCTGTGGTCCTCTGACCCATCTATGGGGCTCTTTCTAAATGTCTCAGTTGGTTTTTTGGTTTTGTTTGCTTTTCAATTTGGAAATTAACATTTGTAATGATATTTCCAAATCTCATTTAATTCTCACTCACTTTTCATGTGAGGGAACAGAGGGTCAGAGAAAAGGGGACAAATCTATGCCATTTTCTTAGCCACAGGGCCCTAAAATCTCCTTCCTTAGTCAAATCTGCCCATTAGACTGAGGCACAGGGAGTTAGAGTGATGAATTAATGCATTCATTCATTTCTCATTCTGTGTCTCTCTTGCTCCCATTTCCTCACCTACAAAATGGATACTGATGATTTCTACCTCACATGGTTGTTGTCAGGATCAAATGAACACCAAATGAAAAGAGCTGACAGTAAGCACCATATACCTATTAGCTACTATTGTTACAGAGGTTACTGTTCATCCAACTCACATTTATTTTGCCAAGCTCTGTGCTACATGCCTGGGACACACAGGAGAGCAAGACAAGTCCTGGCCCCTCACAGAGCTCACGATGGCCTGGGGCAAGCAGGCCAGCAGACACAAACAGCATAAGTGCCCCAGGGAGGGGAGCATGAGATGCTCTAACAGCACAAGGAAGGACATGTAATCTGAACCTGGGAACCCAGGAAGGCTTCCTGGAGGTGGTGGAACCTGAGTTCTGAAGGATCCACAAGAATCAGCCCAGGGAGGCAGGGAGTGGCCTGGAACCTATATCAAGAGGTTTGAATCTTACTCCCAGGACAATAGGGAGCCATAGAAGGGTCTTGAGCAGATTTGACTTTTCAGAAGGTCTTTCTGGTTGCTGGGTAAGGAATGGATTGGGTGAAAGATTCAAGATTAGAGGTGGGAAAAGATTAGAGAGGAGTCCAGGGATCCCTGGGAGGCAGAAGTGCCCGTTCTGAGCTAAGGATTGCCCAAGGAGGAGAAGCAGGTTGCAAAACAGGCATCGTGTTGGGCCACTGCTCTTGAGGTATGGACAGGGCCCTTAAAAGGGCCACCTGTGTGAAGGACTCTAGCGGGGCCTGGGGCTGAGAGGCAAGGTCTCAACTAGAAGCAGAGATCTGGAACTTTGCAGGATATGGGCGAGAGAAGGGGCTCCGTTCCTCTCGGTGTCCCAGCCCACACTCACCGCCAGTGTGTGCTGGTCATGCTGATCTCCGCCTCCGTCAACCCCTCTCCCAGCACCAGTGTGCTCGTGGTCATCCGGTCCTTGATCCTCTTCAGCCAAGGGCAGGTGGAGCCAATGGCCACATTGTACCATTTCCCGTAGAACTAGGAGGCAGCCACAAGATCTGGGAATCTGGGTTTGCCTCAGCCCTCAAAGAAGACTTGGCTGATGTGTGCCCCCCTCACACCCCCAACCCACTCCCCACCCTGTGACGCATCCTTTTAAGTGATACTGTTTCCTGGCTAACTAAAGGGCACATATCCTGGAGGGAAGTCAGAGCCCCCAGGGTAGAGTTACACGCATCACAGTGAGCTTAACGAGGAAGGTGGTCCACAGAAGGCCTCACTCTCCTGAGATGTGGGATCTACCGAAGATCCCCAGCTATTGCTCCCAAGACTGGAGTCCTGTCTTGTACTCCTCCAGTGACGGGATGCTCACTGCCTCACAAGGCAGCCCACAGCCCACATTTGGAAGTATCTCAAGTGTAATGAACATGGAGGGACCATTCAGGATAGACCTGCTGCCTCCTTCTTCTGACATGGGAGCCAGAGAGCTAAAAGAGCCTCCCAGTTCCTGCAGGATGGGCCTATGTGGCTCCCCAACCACCCCAACACTGCCCCATCCCTAAAAGTAAACAAAGTGCATATGACACCACAGCTAGAAGGGTCTGTGAGCCCCATCCTACTCCAGGCCACCCTCTGATTCAGGGCAGAGCTGGGGCAGGAGGCAGCCCTGGGACCCTACACCCACAGCAACAGGCCCTGCTTTGGGCTCTCCCTATGCTCAAGGTCTGATGCCCCCAGCCCTGATCTCTGTTCTGCCCTCTTTCTTCCCATAAGCCTTCATCAGAGCCCCAAAGCCACTGGGCACATGCCCACCCTGTGCCTCCCCAGGCCTCTATCCACAGCCAGACCTGGGCCTGAGCAGAGGACCCAGGACGAGTTAGCAGAGAGATGCTGTAGGGCTGGGGGACTCTCAGAAAGCCAGGTGCCTGTGGAGGATGTTGGGGGGCCACCCACAGGACAAAGTCCTCTCTGGGGTGGGTTCCCATCAAAGCTGTGACTCCTCTGGGAGCCCACAAGGACCACAGAATGTGAGGTTGTTTTACTCATACAACATCAGGTGAGCGAGTCCTACAGAATGGCGGAGGATAGAGTCGTTGCTCAAAGAAGCCCAGACTCCCAGACGGTCTGAGCAGGAAGGGCCTTCTGGGGACTGACCACTGAAATTCCAGGCAGGGAGACTGAGATCCCAAGACAAGCCAGACTTGCCCAGCAAGCTGTTTGGATACCCAACCCCACGACCACTGCCCATGAGGCAGCCTTACCCGAGAGATATCAAAGTTTTCCTGCACTTGGATGTCGTCAGGTGGTAGTACAGGGTCAGCACTCACGGCCAGGCAGGCGGCCAGCAGCAGGAGCAGGGTCCCAGGACTCTGCATGGCTCTGGGCTCCTCTGCGTTGGGGGTCTCTCAGGGCTTGATTTGACAACAGAGGGGCCACCACCTCCCTTCTCAGGACTGTGGACTGAGGCCTGTAGGTGACCTTGGTATTTACCCTGCTCAACTGGGACCAATCAGGGCCCCAAGGCCAGCTCTGATCGATCCCTGTAACCTGGCCAGGGCCAGTGAGACCAAAAGGCCAGAGTGGTTGTTTCAGAAGAGGCATTGGCCAAACACAATGGGGCCCAGGTGTGCCAGCCCCCAGAAAGGCTTCTCCACGGTTTCCCACCTGTCACTGGGGCACATGAGGATGGAGAGAACCAGCAACATCTGGCCTTTTCCTACTGGTTCCTTCCACCCAGACCTCACGCCCCTGTGTCCAGCAGGTGGACCTGATTGGGCCACTTCTCACATGAGAAAACTGAGGCCCAAGGGGAGGAAGTGACATACCAGAGACCACAGGGAACTCAATGGCAGAGCCAGCACTAGAACCCAGGCATCCTGTCCCAATGTTCCTTCTCTCACCCTCCAGCTCCTCCTCGTCCTTGCAAATTATAGAGAATTATAACAACAGCTTCTACTCACTAAGCATCTGTCATGTGCTATTCTGGCACCAAGCACTTTACATGGGCCACAGGATTGAACTGAATCCCCACAGCAGCCTCATGAAGTAGATGCTGTTTGTCCCCTTTACAGACAGAGGATTTAAGTCTCCGTGAAGTGACTTGCCTGGGTCCCTCGGTTGGGAAGTGGAGTTGCTGGGAAAGGTGGCATTTGGTATTGAACGACAGTACAGACTCAGGAGCCAGACAGTGTCTGTAGAACTCACTGCTGTGTGAGCTTGGGCAGGTCACTTTACCTCCCAGGGCCTCGGTTTCCTCGTCTGTAAATGGGGATAATAATAGTTCCTGGTCCCTGGCATTGCCATGAAGATCAAAGGAGTTAACATCTGCGAAGCATGAGGACAGTGCCTAGCCTTAGTGAGAGTGGAATGCGTTTGTAGGAAGCTGAATATCGTCCTCTGCAAAACTCACGTCCACCCGGAACCACAGACTGCGGCCTTGCTTACAGATGTGATTAGTTAAGATGAGGTGGCCCTTGATGACAGGGAGTCCTAAATCCAGTGACAAGTATCTTCCTGAGAGAACAGAGAGGGAGACAGAGATATCGAGAGATGCCCAGAGAAGATGGGGCAGAGGTTGGAGGGATGAAGCTACGAGTCAAGGAGCTCCAGGGATTAAGAGCATGCCCCGGAAGCTGGGAAGAGGTGAGGAAGGATTTTTCCCTCGAGCTTTCAAGGGAAACGTGGTCCT